TCTGATGCTGCCTGGCCTGCTGTGTTCATCCAGCTCTACACCTTGTTATCTCAGACTCCAGCATTGGCAGTTTCTACTATCTCTATGCAGAAAATAATGCTTCTCCTGGCATTGGAAGTTCTTTTTCCCCGCTGACAAATTGCTTATGGATTTGCAGCCAATATGTTGATAACAGTATTGTACAGGAATTTTCTTTCTCCTATAGTTTTAGATGAATTTCATTAACAATCTGACATTTTAAAAGACCAATCATAACAAGTTATTGTGGAATCTAATTCACTTTATTTTGATGTTAACACCCATTTCCACATGTTTTAATGAGGCTGAGTGGTTTTAGCAGTTTGACAGAATGGGAAGACTAGAAGGTTTAATTTCGTCTGAATGCAAATTTATATTTGTCAAAATTGTCACAGCAAAGGAAGCAACTTTTCCACCCAGCAGTACAGGTACTTTGCTTATGCTACTGTACAGCCATGAGATAATAAATTGGCTACAGACAAAGAGTAGAGTCTTTAAGGTGTACAGATCCATACCTAAAGCAAGCCTTAAAAAGAATGAACAGTTCAAGAAACAGGTTGCACACTCTGGAGGAAAATTAGAGGGAGCATTGTACACCAAATAGAGTCATAGAGTCATACAGCATGGAAACAGACCCTTCGGTCCAATCTATCCATGCTGACCAAGTTTCCCAAACTGAACTAATGCCATTTGCCTTGTTTGACTCATATCCTTCTAAACCTTTCCGATTCATGCATCTGTCCAAATGTCTAGTAAATTTATATTTTTTTTTCGAAAAGTATTATAGCGTATTATTATTCACCAATGGAAGGTTATGGGTTAAAATATTAAGTTGTAAACCTTATTATCTTCAAGAATCCACTTGTAGGCCTTTTTGACATACTTGAAAAGAGTGTCCCAAATGTAATGATTTGGACTTGTGTAATGATGTTATTGAATTTTAACCTGGAAAGATAAGGAAAATTTAACCATCAAGTAATAATGAAGCTTGTTTTTAAATTCTCCTTCCAGACATTTTATTGTAAATCCAGCTATTCCAGATCCTACTCAATTGAGTGTGTTCACAAGTGATGGACGGTGCACCAGACATTGGGTATGTTCAATAGTTAGTAGAAATATCAGGGCAATTGCAAGTCTAATTATGTGTGAAATCTTATTCCATTCGTTTATCACTTTTCTACCACTAAATATTGAGAAGACAGACGTGATTGTTTACATTTAACATCACAAAGTCCATCTCTCTTCTTGGCAATTGTCTGAGGCAGAACAAGACTAATCACAAACTTTATATTTTGTTCACAACTGTGCCATCACTAAGACCATCTCCATAACTCTGCCCTTACTCAGCTTATCTGTTACTGAAACCATAGACTTTGTCCTTCTTACCTCCAGACTTAACTATTTCAGTGTGCTTTTGGCAAAAGTTGCAATTTCTACTCTTCACAAGCTTGAGGTTGCTCAAAACATTGTTCTCTGTGCCCTAACGTCTTGAGTTCCGCTCACCAAACTCCCTGTGCTCACTGACCTGCACTGACTACTAGTTAAGCAAAGTCTCAGTTTTAAAGTTCTCATCTTTGTTTTCAGATTCCTTCATGCGTTGTTATCTCTGTAATCTTCAACCCTACTGCATTAATTTCTACCCGTCTCCAACTGTGCTCCACCATATATCTCTTGACGTATTTGATTTTTAATTCCTTCACCATTGTTAACCATAGCTATTTCATGCCTAAATTCTGGAATTCCTTCTCTAAATTCCAGCACCTTTGTTTCCTCCTCAGAGTTCTTGTTGAAAACCTATGTATTTGACCAAGCGAACAGTCAATTTAGTCAGACCAAAGCTCTCCTTAAGTGGCACAATGTCAAATTTTGTTCTGTAATAATGTTAAACCTTGATGTTTTTATTACATTAAACCACTCCAGTTGCAATTTTCTGTTATTATCTGTGATGGTTATGTATTTCGATATTCTATTTCACGGTTTTTGCTGTGTTCCCACAATAACTGAGTTTTAGTGATTCTACATCAGACATATTTGCTAAACAAACAGCTCTTTCTTTGAAAAATGGCTTGTAAATCTACTTCTTTGGTCAAGATTTTTGTCACCCTCTCCTAAGACCCTTGTTTGTCTGTCAGTTTTATTATCTGATTATATAAATATAAATTATTGTTGACACATACTGTCTAGTCTGAGTGTTTTAATATTTTCTGATACTTTATAAAAGGCCTGATTTGTAAGTTAATTTGTTTTCATGTGAACAAGGAAGCTATTTTCTGGGACAGTTGCTCCATTAATTTGTTGGTTTGACCTCAAATAAACAAGTCTATACACTTCCTCAAACTTAGCAGACTTTTCTTAATTTACTCTCTATAAATTGCTGATTTCCCTGTGAAAATGAGTAGCCTGAAAATTGACTTGCTTTTCTCTTTAGTCTTTTATGGTTTATATTACAAGAATGTTTTATTATTGTCTTTGTCAAACTTTTTAAGTGCTTCACAAGCATTTGATTTTTGTTTTAATGAGGAATCTGTGAATATGCTAGTGGTGTCTTTTGTAATGATTCACTTTGATCTAATTTAAAAGAAACATTGAATTGACTGCACCTATGTTTGAAGTTTACATTCACTTTTTAGAAGTATATAGATTTCAGGAGTCAATATGGAAAGTGATATTAAATTGATTGCATGGTTGAATTAATGTCTTGATGTTATGTTTGCTAACACAGCAGCCAGATGTTGCTGTTTGGGAGGTCCATGAGCTGAAAAGTGAAACAGTATTGTGGTCAGGAAATAGGTCCAATCTGTGTGAACACTTCATTTATTTGGAGTTCAACTATCTGTCTTTTTATTTATGGATATTTTCTAATGACCCTGTTTAGAGACATTAAGACACACCTCTGGAAGAGGATTTCTGGATTTTGGCTATTTCTATTGCACCATAAATAAGTGGCTACATACCCCTCAGCTCGGCAGCACTGCAAATTTTAACTCCAGCAGTCAGAGAGTAACTCCCTTGCTTTTTGTGAAAGAAACTTTGGTATGTTTGTAATAAGATACCAATAGTGAATTGGGAATAAAACCTACTATCTCTGGGAATAAAACCGTTTGGTTTTATGATACAATCATTTCGTTATCCATTTGTACCCTTGATCAGTCATTTCTTGAGGTGTGTGGTTACTTAGATTCCAATTTTTATTCCTTTTTCTAAATAATGTGTAAAATGTGTTTTTTTTGTGACGTAAACAAATAAGTTTAAAAAGGCCATTTATGCTCTCCATAAACAGACAGTTATAAAGTGGAGCTTATTTCAATTTTGACAGTGCAACATTCTTTTAATGTGGCACTATATTTCTTAATCATTCGCTAAATTTGAAAGCATACTCTTTTATTAGATGCTCAACTACTCCAGGATCACCACAAGGAGTAAAACAGGATGAAGGTGAATCAGCCAAAGGCCACAATACCTACAATGGATCACAGAAAAATGAAAAGCGAGGTGAAAAGAAAACTGAGGAGGCAAGTAATGCTATTTGATGGAAATCTCAATCTAACTGCTGTTTTGGTATAACCTTGTTTGCTTGTTTTTGGTTCACTTGCAAACCCCCATTTTCTAGCTTTCAACCCCATCCCTGTCCCTGCAGTGGGCTGCTTATACCTTTTCAGCACATTGATCCTAAGATGAACACCTGATCACTTACTTATACCATCGCTAAGGCTGCCTATGTCTACTCTGTAACATTGCCTGACTTCACTCCTTACTCAGTGTAGCTGTTTTGGAAATCCTCACTCATATCTTCATTTCCCTGGATTTGACGTGTATTTGGAAAGGCAAGGACAAATTAGCGATAGTCAACATTTCTGTATGGGAAATCATGTCTCACTAAGTTGATTGAGTTTTTTGAAGAATTAACAAAGAAGATTGTTGAGGACAGAGCGGTGGATGTGCTCTGTATGGACTTTAGTAAGGCATTTGACAAGGGTCCACATGGTAGACTGGTTTTAAGATTAGATCACATGGAATACAGGAAGAACTAGCCATTTGGATACAGAACTGGCTCGGAGGTAGGAGACAGAAGGTGGTGATGGAGGGTTGCTTTTCAGACTGGAGACCTGTGACCAGCAATGAGCTGCAAGGATCGGTGCTGGTTCCACTGCTTTTCATCATCTATATAAATGATTTGGATGTGAATATAGATATGGTTAGTAAGTTTGCAGATGACACCAAAATTGGAGGTGTAGTGGACAGAGAAGAAGGTTACCTCAGAATACAGCTGGGTCTTGATCAGATGGGCCTATAGGCCAAGGAATGACAGATGGAATTTAATTTCGATAAATGTGAGGTACTGAATTTTGGAAAGGCAAATCAGGGCAGGACTTGTACACCTAATGGTAAGGTCCTGTGGACTGTTGCTGAACAAAGAGGCCTTGGAGCGCAGATTCATAGTTCCTTGAAAGTGGAGTTGCAAGTAGACAGGATAATGAAGAAGGCACTTAGTATGCTTGCCTTTGTTGGTCAGTGCTTTGAGTATAGGAGTTGGGAGTTCAGGTTGCGGGTGTACAGTACATTGTTTTGGTCACTTTCGGAGTACTGTGTTCAGCTCCGGTCTTTGCCATAGGAAGGATGTTGTGAAACTTGAAAGGGTTCAGAAATGATTTACAAGGATGTTGCTAGGGTTGAGCTGTAGGGAGAGGCTGAATAGGCTAGGGCTATATTCCCTAGAGCGTTGGAGGCTGAGGGGTGATCTTAAAGGTTTATAAAATAATGAGAGGATAATAGACAAGGTTTTTCCCCTGGGGTGGGGGAGTCCAAAACTAGAAGACATAGGTTTAAGGTGAGAGGGTAAAGATTTAAAAGGAACTTCAGGGGCAACATTTTCACGCAGAGGATGGTGCATGTATGGAATGAGCTGCCAGAGGAAGTGGTGGAGACTGATACAACTACAACATTTAAAAGACATCTGAATGGGTATATGAATACAAAGGATTTAGAGGGAAATGGGCCAAATACTGGCAAATGAGACTAAATTTATTTAGGATATCTGGTCAGCATGGACAATTTAGACCGAAGGGTCTGTTTCCATGCTGTACAGCTCTATGACTATTCTAATGTGCTTCTGGCTGGTTTCCTAAATTCTACCCATCATAAACTTCTTTTGAAGAAGGGTCCCGACCCGAAACGTCAGCATTCCTGCTGTGTTCCTCCAGCTCCACACTGTGTTATTATAAACTTCTTGCTGTATTGTTCTGTGACTCTGTGTCTTCAACTACTCCATCCTCGCAATCCTCATGATTTTTGAATTGTAATTGCTCCACCCCTTGGTGCATATGCCCCAACTTCTGCAATTCCTTCCTTATACCTCTCCTCCTCACTTACCTTACTTTCCTCATTTAAGACATTCCTTAAAAAATACTTGCTTGATCAAGCTTTTCTTCATGTAACCTAATAGTGTCTTATGTGACTTGGTCTTAGGCTTTTTTTTTAATAATGCTTCTATTGACTTGCCTTGGAATTTTTCATCAACTTAAGAGTGCTCTGTGAATATAAGGTGTTTTTTGTTTTCTTTGTTCTGTTTTTGCACACGTGCATTTCCAGCTCTGTTCATAGAGTACAGAGTCACACACAATCGGATCACACACAGTGATGATGGTTTCACTTTCAACCAAACGGGTTAACCCATCTCATGGATTCGACCTCAACAGGCAAGGATTTGTTTAGCAAAGGGCCACTTGCTCCCAACGTAAGATAAAAGAGTGGGTGTTTTCCACAGTTGGTGTTGTCTTGATCTGAGACTAAATGCAGACTGTTGCGTTTTCTTCTAATAATCATTTTCTAGTTTCATTTGGCTCAGAAAAGGTTTCGCTGTTTTAATGCCAGTACATAAATCAGAGTTAGGTCACTGTTTTCATTATGTAGATTCTTTAATTACCTCGAGTTGCTATGTTCCCTGTTCAAACCAGCGAGCTGTTCTCAACCATTCTTATGGTGAGTGGCTTTCGAGTAAACTGGTTGCTAAGCATTAAAGAGACGAATGAATAGTTCATTGCTGCCATCTCACAGAGAAGGCGTCACATGGGTGGACTCGGGAACAATTCCTTTTTCTACAGCTGCTTTCTTTATATCTATTAATTAAAGTATTCTTGATATTGTAAGCAATAATGCAGCTTGGAAAAATCCTCACACTAAACATAGCTGTCTAGATTTAAAAGCACTAAATAATTAATGACTTTTGTTAGATGAGTCTTATGGTTGATGAGTAGGTCCTGCCACTTCCTAAATATGCAATTTTTCTATGCTTCCGAGAGGATGTCAAATTAATGGGAAAAGCATAAGTCACTCATTGAGGTTTGCACCGTGTTTGACCTCCATGTGTTCCAGCTTGGTATTGAAAAACAATCGCACTGCTCTGCTGTTTTCTCCATGTCTGCTTCAAACGTTGAAAAAAACTTGCCCTTTTAAAAGAAGCATCAACCTTCCCCTCAACCGTTCTGAATGATGAATCATGTCTTGAGACTCAGCAGAGCACTGAATTGGTACGCAAACCTGTCAATTTAATTTAACTCTGAGGGATTGATGCAGTGACCAGCTCATTGCTTTGACTGTTTCAAAGGCCAAAGTACAAGTTTTTAGATAGTCATAACGTTATGGATGCACAACACAAATCATCTGTTCAAAGTTCAGCCTGAGGTTGTCAGGTTCTCTTTGAAGGACCATCAGCAAAGGAAATGTAGTTTTTGTTCCTTGAGGGCTCAGAGATTGGAGTTAAAAGCAATTAGTGAGCGTGTATAAAAATGTCTGGTTCTGATGGCGTACAGCCAATTTTAACAGGATGTTTTGAAGGCTTGATCCCAACACGGAATGGAAAAAATGGATAATAGATATTTGCTGCTTTTTAAAGAAGTACTATGATTTTTATCCTTCTTTGGAAAATTTATCTGAGAGAACCTGAAATGTGCACTCGTTCCTTTGGCATGGATATAAACAGAAATACTTAACCCAGTGAGTTGACAATATATTTGTACTGAATTCAATTAATTCAGGTACTATTCTTTTTTGTCAAAAATCAACTTGAAGATGAACTGTTGACAAATTGATTAATGTTTCCATTAGGCAACTTCAATTGAAAATTCATACTGTTATTTGTAGAATTCCATTTTAAGCATAAAATACTAAAGAAGCAAATACTTAAACCATATTTTAAGCTAACAATTCAAACATGTTTTTCCATCCTTGGCAGCAGCGTGTGACTAAGAAGAGAGGCTGGCCAAAGGGCAAAAAACGTAAAAAAAACATACCCAATGGTCCCAAAGCCCCACTGACAGGCTATATGCGATTTTTGAATGAACGGCGTGAACAGTTGCGGGCACAGCAACCAGATTTACCTTTTCCAGAAATCACCAAAACTTTGGGCAGTGAATGGAGCAAACTTCCACCTGAAGATAAACAGGTTTGTGGCATTTAGTGTATCATCTGACTGTAGCACCATTAATAGGGGACAGCTGGCTTGGAGGTGTTAAAGGCAAGCCATGTTTGACGATATTTGAGTAAATTCTTTGAACAAGTATCAGAGAGAGTTGGTGAAGGCAGTGTAGTAGGTGTGGACTTTCAAGAAGCTTTTGATAAAATACTTCATAATAATGGGTTTGGAAAATAGATGAACAATCTATTGAATAGGCAGTGGTTACTTGGGTGTGTATTGGCTGAGGAATAGGAGGTTTGAGAGTAGTGTTAACTGATGAATGGCAAGTCGAAATGCATCCAGTCTATTACTTTTTTTATGGTTGTGGGTTCTGAATGAAGTTACAACATTTGTTCTTTTTTTTTAAAAATCCCTTTGTCTTAACATCAGAGTGGTTTCCTAATTATTTAATGGATCATACTGCAAATGTTGAACCAAGACTTGGCAATGACAGCATTTATTACAGATCCTTAGTTATTCTTGAGAAACTGCTGCAGAAATCCACACCTTCAAACAGTTTGGATCTGTTATTTCAGACAGACAGACAAGATAGTAGCATATTTATTTTTCTCGTAAGTGAATATTTCAGAGGCATAGGGTCATGCTTCAGAGATGTGTGTTTAAATCTTATCATGACAGTTGGGTAATTCTAAATTAATTTTACAAAATTGATGTTGGATAAGAGAGTAATGTAAGTGGTGCATTAGCCCAAGCATCATGCGCGATAAAGGTACATACAACCCATTCGAACCTGGCAGTTCTCCTCGCTGCCATAAATGGTCATATTGTCCCACAGATTATTTGAAAAACAGCTGACATAATCGTAAGCTTCAGCCAGTATTCAGACTTCTCTATCTTCATACCTGGGAATTCACAGGCAGACCTATGATATGGCGTCATATTGGGATATATTTTGGAGTAAGTGGTGCTTAAGAGTCTTGTGTTGTCTGTGGACTCCATAAGGCAAAGTGGCTGCCAGCCAAACTGGCCAAAGAAATATCCTGCCTAATGAAATAGAACTTCTCCATGTTGAATACCACTTGAAACAAGGGTTGAGCGTAGTTGGATCTATATTGCTGTTCCTTTATCGCCACTGGGTCAAAAATCTGGATCCCTTTCCAAAAATGGTGTGGGATGAACTTAGATCACTGGTTCAGAACATGACCTACCACCTTTGCAAGGCCAGTTAAGGATGGGCAATAAATTCTCACGTTGCCAGCAATGGACAAGCTCTGAATTCAAAAGAAATATCATCTGAAAGCGAGGCGTCTTGATCCTTCTGTATGGAGTTGACTGCTGGTTCTACCTCATTTCCATTGCCCCAGTGTTGTCACACTGCTTGTTTGCTGCTTACACAGGGCTGGATGCCAATTTCCTTTGATTGAAATCACCAATTCCATTCTGGCCACCAACTTGGGCGTTGAAAGACTGTTAGCAAGTTTAGCATAAGATTTAACGCTGAGCGGAGTTTCCAACCCTTGAAAATCTTCCATCAAAAAGATACCCACTTCCACATCTATCTCATTGTTTGATTCTCCACTCCCTATCTCTGCTTGCTTGCTGCTAGAAACTTCATTGCTTTAATTGCCCCTACGTTTAAACACCCCAGTGCTCTTCTAGTTAACCTGTAATTTTCCACTGTCCATGAACTTGAGCACGCCCAAAAATCTACTGCTACTATCCTAACTTGCACCAAGTCCCATTCATTCATCCTTTGTATAGGTTGACCTATGTTGCTTATTGTCCATCATGAATTAATTTTAAAATTCTTATTCTTGTGTTTAATTATTTCCTACCTTTGCTATTCCTTGTTTTTCATAATCTACACCAATCCTGCTCTCCTTCAATCCTTGCTTTTTGTAACGTGTCTGTTTTCTAGTCTCTCGTTTTCCCTCCCCTCCCTCTCTGTTATGGTAGTTTGCATTCAGCTTGGTTGAAGAACAAGTTATTTCTGGCAGATGTATTTTTCCTGCGTTTATTGCTCAACCTGTGCATTCAACAGTGTTTCAAACTGCTTTGATGTTTTCCACTTACTTGTGGGTTAAAAGCAACAATTCCCAGTTATGAGATCACAGGAACTCTTGAATGTATGTTTTAAAATTTTTTAATTTTTATTTTTAAGTGCTACCTTGATGAAGCTGAGCGGGCAAAACAGCAATACATAAAAGAACTGCAGGAGTATCAGAAAACTGAAGCTTATAAAATGAGCAGAATTGCTGTCCAAGAAAAGAAATTGAGGAAAGGTATCCTGCCTTTTCATATATCATCGATATAATATACAACTGCAAAATATTTATTTGCTTAAGAACTGGATTGTGAGTAGTATACTAAAAACAGCTGTTTAATGATGTGAATCTTTTCATTGTATGTCAGATTGCAAAGAAAAAAAACCCTAGGGAACAGTAAGAACACTAGGGGAAATTTTATGGATCACTGTTTCTTCATCGTTGTGTGTTTCTCACTTAGCTTGTATTCTGTTTTTTTTCCAGATTCCACTCATTCATTGTCAAATGGCATGCATGCTGAGGTAAGAGCTTTTAAAATTTATTTCTTTCTTATGACATGGCCCATTTGGATTACTTAAAAAAGGGGTTAACTCTATTTTAAAGTGTTTTAGTCAACAGACAGTTCTTTTTCTGCTTATGGTATCTATACATTTTCAAAAAAAACAAAAAATCCTTTGAATGAACTTGGGAAATTATCACCGCCTGCCAATCTGGTGGGGTACACACTAAAAGCTACACTTAGTATGGACAACTGTCACCAGATTACAACAGGGATAGGCAGCTGCTTTGTCAAATGTGTTGTTATTGACTTCCTGTACTACAGAAACCTGACTCCAGATGGCTCTGTAAGACAAGTTAATTTTATCCAAAAACAAAGTGTCCAAACAAAAAAATTCAAGTATTTTCATGAATATGCATAAATTTGACCTTTCTTTAGCCTGACCACACAGAATAGTGTCTATGAAGTAAACTGTCTGAATTTTCATAAAAGCTGAGGGGATTTCCAGCCAAGCCAAAGTAGTGTCGGGGTCCCAATTCCAGGGGCCCTGTTCCTGCCAAACTTGGAAACCACCGTTTTTGCTGGAGGGGCTCTACATGTGCAAAAATATAGCTGCCTTGAATCAGACCCAGTTTTTATTAGTGAGTTGTCTAAAAGCACAACTTGTGTGCACTATACTCCTTGAGGAAAAAATCTAACCTAACCTTAATGGAGATATTTGGAGAGAAAGGGTACTCTTTTGGAGAAGTCCAGGAACACCTGGAAGAGCCTCCTGGAGTATTCGATATGAAGGTGGGTAAAATGTGGTAAACCTACTGGAGCTGTCAAGTAAAGAGATTTAAATGTCCTAATTTTTTTTTCAGAAGTAAAATGGTAGATAAATCCATGGACCTGATCAGGTGTTTCCAAGAATTTTGTGGGTAGCAAGGGAAGAGATTGCTGGGCCCCTTGCTGAGATGTTTGTATCATTTGATAGCCATGGGTCAGGTGCCGGAAGTCTGGAGGTTGGCTAATGTGATGTCATTATTTAAGATAGACTGTAAGGAAAAGCCAGGGAACTACGATAGAACTGTGAGCCTTATGTCACTAGTGGGTAGGTTGTTGGAGGGGATTCTGAAGGACAGGATTTACATGCACTTGGACAGGCACGGACTGATTACGGATAGTCAGCATGGCTTTGTGTTTGGGAAATCGTGTCTTACTAACTTGATTGAATATTTTTTGAAGAGGTACCAAAGAAGATTGAAGGCAGAGCAGTAAACGTATTCTATATAGACTTCAGCAAAGCGACAAGGTTCTGTATGGTAAACTGGTTAATCACATGAGATCCAGGGAGAGCTAGCCATTTGAATACAAAATTGGCTTGAAGGTAGGAGACAGAGGGTGGTGGTAGAGGGTTGTTTTTCAGACTGAAGCCCTGTGACCAGTGATATGCCACAAGGATCAGTGCTGGGTTCACTGCTTTTCATCATTTATATGAATGATTTGGGTATGAATAAAGGAGTTATTGTTAGTAAGTTTGCAGATGACTCCAAAATTGGTGGTGTAGTGGATAGTGAAGAAGGTTACCTCATAGTACAACAAGATCTTGATCAGATGGGCCATTGGGCCAAGGCGTGGCAGGTGGGGTTTAATTTAGATAAATGTGACGTGTTGCATTTTGCTAAGGCAAGTCAGGGTAGGACTTGTACAATTAATGTTAAGGCCCTGGGAATATTGTCAGACAAGGAAAGTGAGGGGTACAGGTGCATAGTTCTTTGAAAATGGAGTTGCAGGTAGACAGGGTGATGAAGAAGGAAATTGGCACACTTGCCTTCATTGGTCATGACCTCCTACGAGTTAGGATGTCATGTTGCAACTGTACAGGACATTGGTGAGGCCACTTCTGAAATACTACCTTTGGATGTTGCTAAACTTGAGAGGATGCAGGGAGGATTTACAAGGATGTTGCTGGGACTGGAGGGTTTGAGTTATAGGGAGAGGCTGAAAAGGCTGGGGCTTTTTTCTGAGGAGCATTGGAGACTGAGACTTATTGAAGTTTATAAATCATGAGGGGCATGCATAGGGTGTATAGGCAAGATCTTTTTCCTAGGGTGGGGGAGTCCAAAACTAGAGACCATAGAAGGGAAAGGTGAGGGGGGGAAAGATTTAAAAAGGATCTGAAGGGTAACTTTTTTTACACAGAGGGGTAATGGGTGTATGGAACGAGCTGCCAATGGAAGGGGTGGAGGCGAGTGCAATTACAACATTTAAAAGACATCTGGATGTAGGGAGGGGTTAGAGGGATACAGGCTGAATGCTGGCAAACGGGACTAGGTTAGATTGGGATGTCTGGTCAGTGCGGATGAGTTGGACCGAAGCATCTGTTTCTGTGTTGTATGATTCTCTGACTCTATGAATCTAAAATAGTTGCAATTTTAAAATATATAGTATTTGCTTTTTCACTCTGTATATTGACACAAGCCTGAGGGCTATCATTGTAGGATTTCTGCTCCAAGACCGATTTTCCAAGAACCTTTTCACAGCGGAGTTTCAATCAGCTCAAACTGTCAGTGAAGTCTTTGATGTGAAGCTATGAATATAAATGTTTTTATTGTGAAGGGATTTAATTATTGAAGGAATTTAAATGCACAGAATGGGTTCTTATCAGTAACAGTTAATTTTTATTTCATTTCAGAATGAAGGGTACTGAATAAGATAGCATAGAGGGTCACTACAAAGGTTGGAGTGTGGGGAGCATGCCTTAGCGTCAGTTGATATAGGATGGGAAGAGGGCATAGCTTTGCATGGAAGGTTTGGGTGGCCATGAAAGTTGAGTTGGAAGCATGATTTGGCATGGATGGGGCTTGGGGGTTTTTGAAGAGGGCTCAAGGGCTTTTTCTTTATTCTGATCTTTGTACAGCCGGAGTGAAGTGTTGGAGAAAAAAAACCAGCCTTTCAGACATGCGGTCTTGGTACTTTCCTGTTAATACCACTGTCTTCATCTCCCACTCACCTGGGCGAAAAGTAAATCAACCGGAACATTTTCTCCCAAGTTGGGCTTGCAGAGTTGTGTGGTGCATGAAAGTTACAGCCGTAGCACATGTTTTGTTCTGAAGAAGCCAACATCTAACTAATACGGTTGTACAAGAAGCACTGGAAGATTGAAAATGTGGTACAGTCATAAATTTGAAGACTGTCTTGCATGGTATTGGGAGTCAGTTATAGTAATGTAGAGGCAGGAACAAACCATTTGGTCTAACATTCCCATTCCATCATTCAATAAAATCATGAGCTGCCAAGTTGCATCAGGATCATTTCGCATTTTTTCTGAATTGCAATGCATACATGCCCAGTCTGTTCAGGTTTTCTTCATAAGGCAACCTGTCATCCCAAGTATCAGTCGAGTAACCTTTCTCTGAACTGTGTCTCATGCATTTATATCCTTTCTGCAAAAGGGAGACAACTCTGTATACAGTACACACTTGTGACCTCACCAACGCTCTATACACCTGCAGCAAAACATCTCGACTTTTATATTCCACTCCTGTTGCAATAAATGGCAACATTCCATTTGCCTTCATAATCATTTGTCGTACCTGCATACTAACCTTTTGAGATTTGTTCATCAGGTCACCCAGATCATTCTACACTTCAGTGTTTTGCATTCTCTTTTCATTTTAAAATTATGCCTCTTTCTCCTCTTCTGTCAAAGAGAACAAGTGCACATTTTCCCACTTTATACTCCATGTGCCAAATTTTTGTCCATTTAACTTATTTCTGTTTCTGTGTAGACTACTTGACAAATAACTAGGAAAGCAATCTTTGTCACCAGCAAATTTAGCAACCACACATTTGATCCTTTTATCTAAGTCATTGAGATGGGTTATAAATAGTTGAAGGTCCAGCACTGATCCCTGTAGCATTCCATTAGATATATATTTTGCCAGCCTGAGAATGACCCATTCATGCCATCTTTCTGTTTGCTCACCAATCCTCTGCTAATATGTTTCATGCTGCACCATGTATTTTGTGTAGTAACCTTTTATGTGGCATCTTGTTAGATTGACTCTGAAAGCCCAAGTACACCAAATCACAAGTTCCTCTTAATCTATATTGCTTGCATAACGTGAGATTTGAACACGGAAGGCCAAAGATTATGAAGCAGGGATCCTTTTTCTCCACTGGTATCTGGTCATCACAAAAACTAGGGGAAATCAAGGTTAAACAAGGAAGGATTTACCTGGAATGCAGCCCGTGCATCTGCTTCTCTTCCCCTCAGGGCCACGCACACACACGCACACACCATCAATCAAGGCACACTTTTGTCCAGAGAGGATCCATTCAACTGCTGCAATAACCATCAGCACCTGATGCTAGAGGTCCCCTGCTCAGTGCCCTCACTCTCCATTGTCACCTGCTGCTGGAGGTTCCATTGCATTTGTGGCTTCCTCAAATAGTTTAACAAATTAGTCAAACAGTAATTTCCTTGCAATAAACAAGTTGACTCTCCCTGATTGCATTGAGATTTTGGATGGGGTTTATTATACCTTCCTTAATAATAAATTCAAGTTATTTCCCAGTGACCTTAAGCTGAGATGTTAAACATGTTGATAGTTTCCTGCTTTCTGTTTCTTTCCTTTCTTGAATAGAAGAATTGCATTTGGTATTTTCAAATCTGATGAGCCCTTTTGGAAAATTGAACTTGACGTATCTAGTATCTCATCAGCCAGTTACTTTAAAAACCTGGGACAAAGTACAAAGGACACAGGAATTTCAAAGTTTTTTGTTTTAATTTTTTTTTTTTTCCAGTTCCCTTTTCCAGGAATTGTTTTAAGTTTTTCCTTCCAGCACAATTCTTGTGATGTGGTTTGTATCATCTGTCATGAGGACATGCAAGATATCTATTCAGTTTGTTCTCGCTTTTGTTACTTCTGGTTATTAATTTCCCTGACATAATTTAGGAGATCATCGTTCACTTTAGTTACTAATTTCCTTTTTAACCACCTGTAGAAATTCATGCCATCTATTCTTATAATTCTGGCTAGCTTCCTTTTGTACTTGTTTTGTCACTCTCTGCTATTTTTTATATTCTGTATAAACTTTTAGCCAGCTGCTAATCTTTAAACTTTCAGAGATAGTAGGAACTGCCGATGCTGGAGAATCCGAGATAACAAGGTGTAGAGCTGGATGAACACAGCAGGCCAAGCAGCATCAGAGGAGCAGGAAGGCTGACGTTTCGGGCCTAGACCCTTCTTCAGAAAAAGGGTCTAGGCC